ATGAGAGGAGACTCGGAGCCACTAGGCTGTGGCAGAGCTGGAAATTTAACCCAGATCTCCTGAATCCCAGGCCATTGCCTTCGCCTGAAAATCGTCCCTCCTACCATCAGCCTAGATCGTTGTTGCACCCGGTCCGTGTGTGTCCCTTTGGATGTGTAAATATCCTGAAATCTACACATTCATCTTGGAGGGGTAAAACCCAGAAAATGAGAAGGGTTTTTCTCTGATTGTCTAGGCAGAGGGAGACTTGGCCTTGTGGTCTTAGCTTTCACATCCTACTCTTCCCTAAAACAGAATGAATTCTAGGAGTCCTATGCAGTCAGTTCCCATATTGTCTGGGGTTATACAGTATAGCATGCAAGTCCAGAAAGTGCTGGGCAATGCTGACCACTGCACTTGTGACAATAAACAGCCTAGGTGTTAATATTGTTTTGTATATAAAGTAACTGCGTCCGAGCCCTGTGATAAGGCATATACAGGGGAAGAGATTACAACAGTCTCATAGTTCTGAGATATGTGGGCTATTCCGATTTTGAAAGGAAATATTTATGTCAGTTCTTGGACTTCTTGAAACTAGGTCCCTCACAACTCTCACCTAGGGTTAGGGATTTAATTGAAAATCCTCGTGAGCTGATTCACTGTTTAAATCTAACTCCTATTTTGTATTTTCCTGTTGCTGGAGGCTAAGGAAGCACTGTAAAGAATAAAGCATTTGGACATTTTTTGTAGATGATAACTTCTTTAATTTGTGTACCTTCCGGGCTGCCTGTGTGGTGGTCTGGAGTAAATTAGATCAGACTTTTGTTGCTGGACCGGAAGAAGGGCGTGTGCAGCTGGCTAGTGAACTTCTCTCTTCTCTGTAACACTGCCCAAGTTGCCCAGGAGAAGGCGAGATGTGCGTGGGAGAACAGGGCTCATTCCAGTCTTGACCTGCTGTGTAACTCTGCCAGGGCAACGTGCATGTTTGTTGCACCTGTTTTCTCTACACTCCTAGTTTAACTCATTTTGCCTCTTTACAACAAGATCATCCCTGGATCCTACCGTGGCAGGGAAAGCAGATTGATTTCACGATGGACAAAGCAATCTGAACTTTCCCTTTGGGCCAGCTGCAGAAACATTTTCACCCCATGAAAAGGACATATAAAAATGGGGAGTGAAGGAAGCTTTCACTGGAGGATAAACACCAAGGTGAGGCCTTTTTGACCGGGGAGCCGCAGGCCCCAAGAGCTTGAAACAAGAGGAGTGCAGCCATGAGTTCTTCCTTCTCTCCTACTCTCTGCCACGGGGGAGTGGGTGCTGTTTCCGCACCCTCTGCCCTTGCTCCTGAAAGGAAGATTGGAGAGGGCTGTGAGTTGCCAGGTCGGCACAGAGGCACAGAAGGGTGGTTGGGGGTAGGGAGGTTGGTACAAAGGCCCTGAACACGGCATAGGTGCTTGCGTTGATTATGCCCACGGCCTGCTGCTCTGCTTCGCATTTCACTTTAAATCAGCATCACCATTTCATTCGTTCAGCCTAAAAGGAACAGAGTCTGGGCAACACTAGGGCCCTGGCAGCTGAACCCAGGCACCTCCTTAAGCAGGAAGCTGGAAGGCCCTGGCTAGTGCAGGGTTAAAATTCAAGGGACGTAGCAGGAGGTCCCCAGCATTGATCCCCAGCCCTGCACCCTGTGTTTACAGCTCCAGCCAAGCTTGGCAGCTGTGGATCCCCAGGGGCACATTACCCTCACCCTGCCCATCCACCCCTGCGCAGGGCTGGAGGCTGCAGCCAAGGGCTATGGCAGCAGGGTCCCCTGTTTAGCAACCCGTAGTGCAAACTGCAGGGTTGCCAACCCTCCAGGATTGTCCTGGCGTCTCCAGGAATTAAAGAGTGTCATGTGATGAAACCTCCAGGAACACGTCCAACCTAAACTGGCAACCCTAGTGCAAAGCCCTGTGTGGGGCAGAGGGGGCCAGCCAGGAGGGGTAGGGCCAGGAGCCCACCAGGACTAGGCGGACGCATTTGCACAAGCCCCAGCTTGCAGTCCCGGCTCCTCCTGCGCTCAAGCAGCCGGTGCAAGCCAGGGGCCAGGGCAGGGCGCCTCCCCAAGGGCCCCAGATGCTCTAAGGTCAGGCCAGGCACGTGGCTGCAACCTGGGTGCGGTGCCTCCCTTCCAGACCCCACCCTAGGACAACGACCAGCCCTCCCTCCCCCCCCACCGGCTGCAGAGGTGGGAGGGTCCTGATGATGTCACGCGGACAGGCTCCTCCCACTTCCGACCTTGTCCTGCAGGTCCGAGGGCCGGGCGGCTCCGCAACGATCCGAGCCAGGTAACGCGGCGCTGCAGCCTCCCTGGTCTGGGACTCTGTCTGCAGGGGCAGCTCGCTGTACCTGCCCCAAGGGGTGGGGGGGTGGCTGGGTTTGGGGCTCCCCCTCCCCCGGCTGCAAGAGGCTCAGAGTCTCGCTGCCGATTGCTGCGGGACCCGCAGGGTGACGGTGTGTCTGGAAAGATCAAACCAGGCGGGCATCTGCGGGGCAGCTGGAGCATGCACTTAATTCCCTTTGCTCCAGGGCAACTGGGGACTTGATTCTGCCTGCGTCTGCTGGCGCAGATCGGAGCTCGGACGCCCTGGCCGCTGTCAGAATGAGAGGGTGGGAGGGTATCCCTGGGTCTGATCCTGCCCTCCTTTAATATGGTGCAAATCAGGTGCAACTCGAGTCCGGGTCAGGAGCCAGATCAGAATCGGGCCCCTTGTGCTTTCCCGTTTGCAATAAGTGCTGTACATTGTGTAGCTTGTCAACTGTATTTATTTGGTCTGGTTCCCCTTCAGACACTCCCCCTCTTCTCTCCCCCACGTTAACATTGCAACAAAACAATAGGCGTAGACACCCGGCTCTGAGTTCACGGCATGGTGCTATAGTCATTATGGGCCACAGTGTGGTATTTCAAAGGTTCATTTTTCTTCCTACAAATCTTCCAGTGAGTCTGTCGTTAGGGAGTATAAAGGGAGTAACAGCAACGATGACAGGTTTCAGAGTAACAGCCGTGTTAGTCTGTATCCGCAAAAAGAAAAGGAGGACTTGTGGCACCTTGGAGACTAACAAATTTATTTGAGCATGAGCTTTCGTGAGCTACAGCTCACTTTAATGACACCAGTACATTTAATTTCACATTTAGATAGTCTTCTACAACATTTTCTATAACTGTGAAATAACTTTATTAATGGAACATGAACTAGAATTATGATACTAAGCACCATTCTGGCTCTAGCCAAAACAAAATTCTGCAGAGGGCTCATTATAAAAATCTATGTGATCAACAAACTTTCGTTTTAAACTAAAGAGTAACATAACTTATATTCCTTTCATTACAGTAACATCATAACAGTAGAGTTCCAAAACTGATGTGCAAGTCAAGACTGTTTTATTGAGACCTGTTTAATGTGGCATATCAAGCAATTCGTTTGTTACAATTGTTTTCCTCTTTTGATTTGGCTAAGCAAGGTCAAATAGACTGTAATTGGTTTCTAATTTCTATCACTTTAGCCAAAAGGCAAATGCCTTTTCCCTAATCTGCTATATATTCTCTTTTCTTTGAGTCTGATGAGACAGGGCACTTGTTAGAAATCATATTTATAAAACTCTGCATCACCTGGAGTTTGTATGTGGCCAAAGGAATGGATGAGGGGATATGAAGGTTTTTAGCCTTAGGATTTGTCGCTGATTTGAAACAAGCACAGACTGTCACCAAAAGTCCTTATATCTGGATGGTTGTTCAGGTGCGGGGATAAGCAACCTTTGGAACGCGGCCCGTCAGGGAAATCCGCTGGCAGGCCAGGATGGTTTGTTTACCTGCAGCGTCCGCAGGTTTGGCCGATCGCAGCTCCCACTGGCCGCAGTTCGCCGTCCCAGACCAATGGGGGCCGCGGGAAGGGCGGCCAGCACATCCCTTAGCCCACGCCGTTTCCCGCAGCTCCAATTGGCCTGGGACGGCAAACCGCAGCCAGTGGGAGCTGTGATCAGCCAAACCTGCGGACCCTGCTGGTAAACAAACCATCCCGGCCCGCCAGCGGATTTCCCTGGTGGGCCGTGTGCCAAAGACTGCGGATCCCTGTTCTAGTGTCCCGTAGGAAATGAGATTGTGGGTCTCAGTCCAATTCCTCTAATTGTGAGGTGTCCTCATTACAGCTGGCACTAACTGGCACCCCTGAGGACACTCTCAACAGAAAGGCCGAGTGGTGCATGGAACCTGAATCCCCCCCATCCCCACCCCGCAGGGCTGGAGCACATTGGTGGGGCAGTGGGGAGGAGTTTGCATAGCTGCTGGATGGAGGCGCTGTCAATCCAACATCCTTGACAAGCACTGCAATTTGCTTGTTTTTGTTTTTTTTTTTTAAACTGTCTCAGCGTAATAGGTGGTTTTAATGCACAGAAGCTGGGAAATCCACGGTAGTAGAGCCTCCAATGCAACTAACATCTAGGAGGGGGTGGGCAAACTTTTTTTTGGCCCAAGGGCCACATTGGGGGTGCAAAACTGTATGGAGGGCCGGGTAGGGAACGCTGTGCCTCCCCAAAGAGCCTGGGTCCCGCCCCCTCCCACTTCCCGCCCCCCTCAGAACCTCTGACCCATCCAATGCTCCTTGTCCCCTGACCACCCCCATCCAACCCCCCCTTCTCCCTGTCCCCTGACTGCCCCGACCCCTGTCCCTGCCCCCAGACAGGCCTCCCCCATGACGCCCTGCTCCCTGTCCCCTCACTGCCCCGACCCTATCCACACCCACACCCCCACACCCAGAGAGGCCCCCCGCGACTCCCACGCCTATCCAAACCCCCCGTCCCCTGACTGCCCCCCCCCCCCAGAACCTCTGCCCCATCCAACCACTCCCTGTCCCCTGACTGCCCCCCAGGACCCCTTGCCCCTTATCCAAACCCCCCCTCCCCCCAAGCTGCTCAGAGCAGCAGAGCCCCACCGCCCAGCCAAAGCCCACCACGCTGCCCGGCAGGATGGTCCCGCAGGCCATAGTTTGCCCACCTCTGCTCTAGGAGGATCTGGACATTCAGTCACTTTTGTTTATTTGAAATAGTATTTAAACTATCAAGGTTCCAACTACTGGAGCTGCACCCGGTACCTGTTACACAGGGAGTCCAGATGCTATTGGATGCCATAGATAACATGTCAGTCCAGTTCTATTCTGGAAGGTTATTTGGGACACAGGAGAGTCTGTGGCTGAGTTCCTAGTTAGAATCTTTAGTTTTGATTGGAGTGTCTGATGCCCTTTCTCCACTGGGTCCCAATCCTGCCGTGAAACAGCCACTCCAGCCCTGCTGCTGGACGCTTATGTCCTCAAGTTTTCACACACAGACCTTCATCCGCTTGCTTTCTTCTCCTTTGCTTGCCCTTGGTGCTGTCTTCTGTAGGAAGCCCTGCTGCAATTTGGGGTATAATGCAGATTTTAATGGTGGTGGAAAGACAAACAGCATTTACTGCTTTGCCCAGGAAAATAGAAGGAACATTTGTAAAGGAACTAGAAACCCTCCATTCTCCAGGGTTCATGCGTGTTGCAAGGTTGGCCTAACCTAAGTGTCTCTATTGGGCTCCCTTTGAATTCCAGATCCTCCTCACTGGGGGTGGGGTGTGCTGGGGAGAGGTTTTTGATGGGTTCCAGCCTGAGAGGCTGATGATGCCAAGCTTGTGACAAAGGCCTTTGCCCTGGGGAGCTGAGCCAGGGAGATGGCCAGGATTGGAGAGAGCTGTAGGGGTCCTGAGACCAGCTAGCACCAAAAAGGGGCAAAGCCCAAACAGAGCAAGAGACCAATTAAGTGGAGCTGGTGCTGGGGTTACTCAGCTGTCAATGTCTGGGGGGGTTCAGAGCACTTCCCTGCAGATGGGGATCTGGCACCGGGGTATTTGGAAGTTGTTCTGCTCGTCCCAGCTCTTGCTGGTTGGATCGTTAGCGGTTCCTACAGGAACAGACCCTGGCAGCGGGCATGGGTCACTGCATGTGTAGTGGACAGCAATCTACAGATCGAATAAGTTAGGGGGAGATTTTCAAAGGCACAAAGGGCAGTTAGGTGCCCAACTCCCACTCACTGCCCCAGGAAGTTGGGTGCTTAATTCTCCCTTGTGCCTTTGAGAAAAATGCCCCCCTCAGTGCTTGTCTACCCAAGAAAATTGACCAACACAGCTAAAGCGGAGTAAGTGTTATTCCTGTCATTCATAACTATTCTGCTATAGCTCTGCCGATCAATTTCCACGGCTAGACAAGCTGTTAGAGAATTATTTTCTGAATAATAGATGAAGGTGATAAACCATGAGGTTGGCTGAGGCCTCTAGTACAAAGGCCCTGTCTGTTCCAAATGGGCATCAAAGGTCACAGGCACCTTTCATTAGAGGAAAGGTTTCCCCCAGCCTCTTTGGAACACAGAATGGACCGCATTTCTGTGACCCCTGCAAGAGCTGCATAGGAGAAGGTTCTCACACAAATAATGCTTTCAGTGGTCTCAGTCAAGTCACTGATTACTCTAACCCAGGGCATGGCCATGCTACCTCTTGTGAGGCTCCTTATTCTACCCACCTGGTAAACAGCATTTACTCTTCATTATTTATTTGTGTTCTAGCCTCCACAGACCCCCATGGTGACCAGGGCCCCGTTGTGCTAGGCACGATACAAACATGTGGGAGGACATGTGCAATTTGAAATTCCTCATCTGCTGGTTGGTGATTGATCATTCCTGTTCTCTCCCTCGCACAGTGTTAGCTCTGGGCGCAGACTGGTGCAGAGCCTGCATTAGGATCAGGTAGGCACAAATTGGAGCTAGTTCTCTTGAGCCGAGGACTCCAATGGTGGTTAAGCTAGAAAGCCATTACAGTGCTTTTCCTGCAGATCCAGTAGGCGGAGCCAGATGGTTAATGAGAGATGGTTAGCACGGGCCAGAATTTCAAAAGAGCGGCGCTCCTATTTAGGCCCCTAATGAATGTTCTCTTTGAAATTCTGGCTATTGATTTAGGTGCCTACATGGGAGCTGTTGGATGCTGAGCTCTCCTGAAAATCGGACCCTGAATGTTTATTTTTGTGCAACAGCATGAGCCAATCCGTGTCTTTGGATCAATCGACTGCACCGGCACGAACAGGACCCGGGGAAAGTGCAGTGGCACACATTTGTGCGGTGAGATTTTAATAACGGACCCCGCATTCTTCGGAGTCCAATCAATTGAGTAATACACCCCTGAAGTGGCTGGTGCTGGTTAAATTAAAGGTGTTAAATTAAAGGTGTTAAATTAAACATGGCACCCTGTGCTTGGATAAATACACATTTTAAGACAGAGTATCCCCAACACCTACTTCTTGTTAATATCGCTCTGGCTTTGGGTTTCTCATTGCCCAGTCTTGGGGGAGAAGCCTCATTCTTCGATCTTACGCCCCATTTTGTATTACACAGCAGGGGAAAGTAATCTAATCTTCTTTCTAGTGTTTTTGAGACTGTGGAGTGTGTTCTTTATGGACAGTGGTGATTGAAACTGCCTGCTCTCTTGACTGTTTGAAATCCAGTATTTCAGGCATTTGATTGCCTATTTTATTCCTTTGGAAAAAGGGTGAGAGAGGACTGGTTTACCACCATAGGATCGGTATTTTCAATAGAAAAGCTCCAACAGAAACTTCAAGGGTTTTGAAATTTGTTGCCTAAAAATGAATTTCATCTTAGCCTGGAAGGAATTGGGATTTAGCAACATTTTAGGCCACTTTTTAGATTTTAGACTGAAAAGTAAACATAGGGTTTGTGGCTCTTGAGACATTAGGTATTTTTGTTCTGTTGCTCCAGACTCCAAAGATTTTATGAACAGGCAACCTTAATAGTAGATGGTGCTTAATAGCCACAACTTTCCTTCATCTCCAAACTTTCCTCAGAAAGGTACTGAGCTAATTCCGACCTAAACCAAGCCTGACCTCCAGTGGCCAGCTCCAGGGCATGTCGCACACGCACCTGAGCACTGAGAATGAAGCTGTCCTATTGGTCCTGGTCTCCAACTGCTAGGGAAGGACCGGTTCTGTCCCAGTGCTCCATCTCCATAGTAACAGACAGAGGCGTTGAAGTGAGCAGGTTGTTACTTTATTTGCCCTTTGAATTTTGTAAAGCATTGGTATGGTTTATAATGAAAATAGTAAGGACCTCTGGGGTCAGGAACATGCTGGCATTTAATGAGGGACTGTGTTTACAGCCGGTGTATTCATTTAGATAGAGAATGAATGGGCCGAAGATGTTAATATAACACAGTCACTGTTCAGTGTTAAACAGCGTTAAACAAAGTTCGGGGTTCGGTATAGAGAGACCTCAGCCTGATTAGCACCATGGCAAACATGCCATTACGTTTTTTAGCCTTTTATTAAAGATCTGGAAAAGCCGTTAAAGCATTTGAAATGTGAAGCATTCAGTAAGGCTTTCATTTTAACAACGTTGTTTGTTCCCTTTCCCTTTAGCTGGAGAGAGTTTTTAGAAGGAAAAGCCCCTCGCTTGACAGTCTCTTAGATGGTATCGAAGATGGTAAAAACTGGCCTTTTGGGAGAAAGAGAAGCAGTGAGTTGAGATGGGCTGATTGCTCTTAAAGTCCGATCCCATTTCATCCCAGGTGGTATCTGGGATTCAGCTGGAGCTGGCAGAAAGGAAGTCTTATTTGGGCCCCTCTTCTTTGCCCATTCCAGTCAGGACATCTCTCGGGATCAAAGCCAACAAGGACTGGGGTTCCAGGACATGGTGAGGGTGGCAGCCATGACGGTAAAGCTCACTCCAGTAGACACCATCTGTTCTTCTCTATTCCCCCCTTCCCTCTAAGTCTCTTTCTTGAAGGACCCCCAGAAGGAGTGGTGGGTGGAGTAGCCCAGCCCTTCATTATTTTGTCTACCAATTAGGTCTAATATTGGATATCCCAGTCTTGGCTCATTAATTTTTGGTTCCACATCTTCTGTCTTTACCAAGCATGATTTCAGTGGCATCACTGGATTCTATCAACATGGCCTTTTTGTTTAGACTAATTCAATCTTTTTGTCTCCCTTTCATACCTCTTTCCATTAACATTTGTTGTTATAAGTTACTGTGACATTTGATGACCTTTCACGTACTTTTCGTAGCTGAGCTCACAATTAGGATAAATTTGCAGGCCCGATGATCAGAACAGAGCACATGGCTTTCAGCATCACCAGCTATTCCTTGAAGGCGCTAATGTAGGTCCAGGCTTTAGGTTTTCTTTCTCTTGAAAGATTGCATTTGAACTATCTTTTTTGACTAGTTCATTTGCTGTCTATGAAAACTTAGTTTTGTCAGGATCTGACGGTTTTTGCAACCCGAACAGACAACAGGTTAGGGTCGTGCAGGACACTTGGAATGAAACTGATGTGGGGAGCAGAGGGACACCAGAACTAACCGGTTTATTTTCATTGAGAAGTGCCAGGAGTAAACACAGCATCAGTAGTGTAGAGTAAAATAGACTTTTCGGGTGCTGCCTGGTTTGAATCTAATGTACTATTAGCAACCAAGGGAAGGAAATATTTTTGGCCTGAGTGTCCACCTGTAAATGTGGATAATGTTCCAGACCCTCCTTTGGAAAGCAGGTGTGAGATAAAAAGCGTCAGAGAAGAGCTCAGTATTATTTATTCTTCTACTCGCCAGGAAATGCCCTGCTCATGGCTTAAATAGTCCACTGGGCTGCTGGCGCCCTCGGGCAGGTTTTCTACCTTTGCTTTTGTTGGCTGCTGCGTTCCCGCTTGGACACGCCTTACGCTTTCACACTGCCCTGGACAATAACCAGCCCTGGTGGCGCAAGCTGTCCCTTCAGTGTCTAGAAACTGGGGTCCATCCATCTGTCTGATTTCTAGCCTCTGCCACCCACTTCTGTCTCTTGCGGCAAATCCCCTCTTGAATCATATTAAAGAGCTCTTTTCGTGTGGGCACAAAGAACCAGCCCCCTCTCTCTCTTGCTGGCTCACAGTGGGGAGCTCGCAGCAGAGGCGTGGGGGAACGCTTCCTGTCGCACACCCACCATGTCTTTGGAGAGCTGAGGGTCACCTGGGTCTTAACTGCAGCCACTCTGGCTTCAGGGACCTGATCCATCCAAGAAACATGAATAAATATAGGTTCTGGGGGTAGGGATGGTGCATGTCAACTTGGAGCCTGTCCATCTTGATGGTTTCCTTTTACCACACAGTGCTCCTATGGAGAAAACGGAGAGGCATTGCATAGACATTTCAAAACAATTTGTTTGACAACATGTTCTGGGGACCTCCTGGAACCTATTGTTAACGCCGTGGTGCTGAGAATTGGGCTGGTCTGGCATTGAAGAGAGTAGCTGAAAACACACCGTGATGCGACCTGTAGCCTAGAAATAATTCTCGGCCCTAAAAATTGGAACAATGGGGTCAGCCTGAAAAGCAGGATCAAACTCAGGCCTGCATGAAGGCATGTTGTACAGCTGTGGGCTCCCCTTCTGCCAGCACCTTGGGGTATCCTGATCTGGGAGGGGATGGCAGGGAATTGGCCTCTGGGAAAACCAGAGCTCTCACATGAAACTAAACCACAGTGCTCCATAGCTCTTGGTCCCCCTCTCTGCCATTTCATAAAGGTCACTAATATTCTTGTGTTGTTCCTTTCCACATCCCAGGAAGGACTAACATGGAAGCTTTTACCTTGAACTAGGAGTTGCTCTACCTCAAACTGCAATCTACCTCGCCCCAGGGTCAGCTGAAGATGAGAGTCTGGAAGGCTGTGGCTACCACGCTAGCGTTCGTCGGCGTGGACGTGCTGGTGACCACACTGCTGTACGCGCACAGCCATAGCGGCAAGGACATTGTCCAGGATCTGAAGCACTTCAACGTCTTTAATTCCATGTTGGACGTGTGGGGGGCATGTCTGTACAGGAGCTGCTTGCTGCTTGGCGCTGCCATTGGGGTTGCCAAGAACTCGACCTCTGGCCCCAAGCGCCTGAAAGCATCCCAGACCTTTATCACCTCGGTCTGCCTGCTGGTGGGCATTTATGCCCTGGTCAAACTGCTGCTCTACTCGGAGGTCAGGAAGATCATTAGGGACCCCTGGTTTTGGAGTTTGTTTGCATGGACGTATGTGTCGCTGGCTGCAACTTTCTGCTTGTGGCAGCTGCTGTCTTCCGTGACGTCCTCCAGAGAGGCCTTGGGGGTCAGTTCGGAGTCCCAGGCGGAAGCAGAGGAGATATGTGACCCCAGCCCTGTTCCTGCGTCAAGAGCCACTATCCATAAGCTGCTGTCTTACACCAAACCAGATGCTCTCTTCCTCGGAATAGCCACTTTCTTCCTCCTGGTTGCTGCTTTGGGTGGGTGAACAGAGTTTAAAGGGACATTGCCAAGATCAAAATTCCATATTTTCTATTAATATCAGTTCTATAAAAATCAGACCTGTTCACCCTGATGAAATCTAAATATTTGGCTTAAACAACCTTTTCATCTTGGTCTCATGCCTAGATTATCAAGGCCAGAAACACCTTCAAAGATATTACTGTTCCCAGAAACCAGTTAAACTCCACTGCTAACTTTTGCTTTACCCAATAGCTCTGTGTTTGAAACGCTGTCTCTTGTTCTAATCCACCTTCTCTTATGCTTCTGCCATACAGGGGAAACATTCCTTCCTTATTACACTGGCTTGGCGATTGATGGCATAGTCATCCAAAAAAGCATGGATCAGTTTTCCACTGCAGTGGTGATTATGTCGCTTCTTGCTATAGGAAGGTAACTGCAATAGACAGAGAGATTATTTGTGCCTCAGTTATAAGAAGTTTATTATGTTGAGGTTTAAACCTTCTTCCATAATATTGTCCTGAACTGGCTAGTGTTTATATGAACCTCTGCTCGATGGATTAGGAACTGCTCAGCTGTGTGTTGCAGGTGGGAAGCTGCTAACAGCAGTTCTCCTTTATCTCAGGTGGCGGGGATGTGTCCTTGTGGACCCATAAGATGTAGGTAATCCCTGCTCTTGCTGCGCAGTTGTGAGTGCCCACAGTGTGGCAGCAGAATGACAACTGTGAAGCCTTAGATGGCCATGACTTTGTTACAATATTTACAGACTCAAGAGGGAGTAGGGAAAGAAACATCTTAAACACTTGGTTTAGTTTTATCTTTCAAACATCCTTGCAGAGGACGAGGAGATTCAGAGGCAAGGCTTTGGCCCATCCCTGACTCTTCCCTGGTGGCAGCTGCACAAAATAGGCAGTTGCAGTTTGCAGAGGGACCAGATGTCATGCCAATGTGTAGGTTAGTTTTGGTTAACACAGCTTTGCGGCCCTAAGTCACTTGGAGTTCAGAGGTGAATGAGCCCCGGATTGAATGGCCATGTGCATCCCTGCTTGCCAGTAGAAATGACATGGAGTTTTTCATGGTTTCCATCTGAAACTGTGAAAGGGGCCAGGGCTCAACTGAAAGGTTTTTCGTTTTGTTTTTTGCTTTGTTTAAGATTAGTTTCTACCAGAACCAGGTTAAATCAGCCTGATTCTGGATTTTGTAACAAAAATTTCTCTAGTTTCTACTCCTGACACTTGGGTGTTGCCTAAAACAGGATGCACAGTGTTCATATACAGTGGAAGCGTTGTCTAGTACTGATAGCACACACCTGAGACTCTGCCATTGACTTGGCCATGCCACTTTCACACTTGTGTGTCAGTTTTCCCGATCTGTAAAGTGGGGATAATGAGATCCATCTCTGGGGTTGGGGGGTGTTGTCAGGCTAAATTAGTTGTCTCAGCAGCTCTTTGAGATCCTGGGATGAAAGGCACTGTCAGTACAAAGTGTTATCATTGGCCCCTGTTTCGATATATTTGTCTGGGGTGTGATGGGGCTTGTATGTTGTGCTAAGGAGTGGATTTTGTGCACACTGTTATATAACGTCTCTTATCTGCAATTAGCTCATTTGCCGCAGGTATCCGGGGTGGCGTTTTTACGCTCATATTTGCCAGGCTGAATATTCGACTCCGCAACTGCCTCTTCAAGTCGCTGGTCGCTCAGGAGACAAGTTTCTTTGATGAGAATCGCACAGGTTGGTATCTCTCCATCCATGAGATCAGTTCCTCTTTCAGCGGTCCAGCCTCATCCTCGCATGGTGATGGTCTCTGGGAGGCAAGTGTGCTTGGGACGCCACATTCCCTCTGTGTCTCAAGATATGAGAATACCATTTGAGTAAGTGATTGACCTGCAACACTAACGCGCTGATTTCCCAGTACCTACTAACAGTGTCTGTCAGATCACAGCCTAAGGGAAATCTGTATAAATCCTGCAATCTAAAGTGAACGGAGGTGCTTGGTTGCTCCTGCTGGAAATCAGAGTCCCCAGTTTATCCATATAATGGGTACAACATGGGCAGTGCAAGGGTCACATGGGTGATCAGTAGGGACAGAACCCAGGATCAGCAGCACCAATTCACAGGCCTCCACCATTTGAGATGAAGGAGCAACCCCATTAGCTGGTATCAGTCTCTTACCCTCTGGACTAGCCAGCTGAAGGAGATACAACTCACTTAACCAGTGTGTTACCCAGACTTCCCTCTGACCACTCTACCCTACATGTGCCTCAACCCTGGCCTGGCAGAACCATGTCTAGGCGGGGAGAGGGGACTTCACAAGCTTTTCAGTCTTGATCTCTTAGCTGGGAATGCCAGCAGGGCTCTCCAGCTGTGACTATGGTTCTGTGTCAACTGTTGACTGGACTGAGCCCACTAGCTTGCTTCATGAAAGCCTCCAAATAGCTGTCAAAGGGTTAAAACTTTAGGTTGCTACTGACCTGAGCTGGATTAGAACTGTAGGTATGTTTAGCAGCTGGCACACATCCTACGTACACCTGTACCTAGCAATGTGCCTCGGCCCTGGCTTGCGGGATGTGAGGGTGGTTCTGTCGACATGGCCCATTCAGTACTTGGGCTCTGCTGAGATTGCCAGCAAGGATCCTGATTGTGGTAGTAGATTTTGTGGTGTTCTCACCTTGATTAAGACCTGCCAAACTCATTTCACGCCACCCACTGAACTGCCAGCGAGTGGTAACAGCTTCCGGTCACTCCTGACGTGGGTTGGATTTGAACTGGGAGCCTAGATCTGAAAGGTTCTATGACCCATCATGAATGGCTGCATCCCCTTAGCCCCTGATCTGTGTACATTTCATTCTTGCTTCCCCATGACCCTCCAGTTTGGCTCATGGCACGTGCAATCACTACCTGCCTGTGCTGGTATGGCCGTGGGGGCTGTGATTCCTGAAGCACTGATGGATCGGAGCTCTTCCCCACTCCCCTTTGCCTTGCAGGGGACATCATCTCCCGGCTGACCTCGGACACAACGATTGTGAGCGACCTAGTTTCCCAGAACATTAACATCTTCCTGCGCAACGTAGTGAAGGCGACGGGCGTGATTGTCTTCATGTTCAGCCTTTCCTGGCAGCTCTCTCTGGTGACCTTCATGGGCTTCCCCATCATCATGCTGGTGTCTGACCTCTACGGGAAATATTACAAGGTAAGGCAGATTGCTTGCGTCTTTAATTTAGGCCGAGTCCCTCTGTCTCCCTCACAAAGCAAGGCACTTCCGTGGGCCAAGTGACCTCTCAGAGCAAGGCTGGGATCTAGCTGTGGGCTGCTTCTCACGGAGATTGGGGGTGAGCGGCGAGTGAACTGTCTCCCCTCGAGCCCAGCTGCCATGGGAAGAGATCAGGCCAGCCTGTGAGTTGTGGTGGCAGCACAGGACCCAAACACTCCCTTGGTTTGCTTGTGCCTAAGACCTGCTTTGGCTCCGAGGAGTCAGGATGGCTCAGTGGCATTCAGGGAAGGATGCCGGATACATCAGGGATGCTGTATATGAGCAGGGGAGGGTGCAATCTGTGCTGTTCTACTGCCCCCTGCTGGCTGTCCAGAGAGCAACGTTGGCTGTAGCTCTTGAGCACCCGGAGTGATTGTCTAGAATACTGTGGGTTCCAAAGTAAGTGGTGAGGACTTCTTTAGGGTACAGTTGCACCACAGGCTTTTCCCCCAGCCAGTTCCCAATCTCTGTTCCCTGTTTCTCTCTCCTTTCTGCCTGAAGTGGCCAGTAATCAGCTCTGCAGGTCCACCAAGACAGGGAGTGTAACCAGGCCAGCGGTCTTTCCCTTCATTTGCTGCTGACGTGGAAAGAGTGGGCTAGAACTAGCAGTTAATACAAATCCCCCACAATGAGCTTTAGCTGTTAACAGCCCCCTGATCCATCAGTCTAATTGTGGCTGGCCCTCACCCTCCACTTTCTGGAATGAGTCACTTTTGTAAGATTAAACAAACAGTATTTGCTCAGTATTCAAAAGACCTTCTGTCTTGATGCTGGATTTCTCTGTTAGCCAATCTAATGGAGTTACAGGCTCTCTAATAGCATGATCATGGGGATATCAAAGGAACGTGTTCTTTACGGGGAAAGGTGTCTGTCTGTCTGTCTGTCTAATTCATTCTCCCCCCCCCCCCCCCCGTATGTGTGTGCAATACACAGTACTATGTGACCTTTGCTTTCTCTATTCCTATCCCTCTTTAGTCCCAATGTAAGCTCTGTTAGCCTGTGGAATCCCCATTGCTTGGGACTTTTAGAAAAAGGACAAAACAACAGAAAATGTACAGCAGGGAGGAATCCTGCCCTGGTCCCCAAGGGGGGGGGGGGGGGGGCTGGGGTGATCTAATACATCTTCTCCTCTGAATCTACAGCTCTGCCAGCTCCATTGTCAGAACCTGTAATACCAGTTGGGGCCTGTGCGCACCTGGCAGAGTCTCATTGCTCACGAGGAGCCTCCCTCATATTGCACTGCTCTCTCTGAAGTGACATGCCCGCTCCTCCGTTGGGTGGAGCACATGAATCCGTACAGCCCGTGGGCTGTGTGCTGTGCTTTTAGAGCTTTCTCGCTCTCAACCTCAGTGCCATGGGGCAAATCCTGCCTGTGTGCATAGTGCCGCCCACGTGACACGCACATGCTGGCATGCTGTAAAAGCAGAGGCGCTGTGCCTGGATTCTGGCCAGCTGTGGTTCCCCTGTACAGATTCTCCGCCCTCTCCCCAGGCTTGTTCTTGCTAGGAGTGTGTAATTGGCAAGTGGGGGAAGTTTGCATGTTGCCATTGCTTGCTCAGAGTGTGCACATGCACAGACACCAGATTGTGCCCCCCCAGTCCTAGGTTCTGACCTGGTGAACCCCTTTGTGGCTTCTGTCACAGGCACCTGCTGGCTGTCCCAATGTACTTAGAGATCCCAGCAGTACAGGGGCTTGTGTTCATTTCCTGGCTCTGCCGCAGACTTCCTGTGCGACTTTGGAAAAGTCACTTTGTCTCTCAGTGCTTCAGTTCCTCATCTGTAACATGGGGATAATAGCACATCCTGTCTCCTCCTTTTGTCTGTCTTCTCTATTTATACGGTAAGTTCTTTGGGATAGGAACTCTCTTTTACTCTGTGTGTGTGTGTGTGTGTGTGTGTGTGTGTGTACATACATACAGTGCCTAGCACAATGGGCCCGGGTCTTGACTTTGAGCTCTAAATGCTATCATCATACACAAAGAATAATAATGATTGGCCCAGAGCCACTGAAGGAGTCTGTCAGACCAAGTGTCAGGACTCTGGTTCTCAGTCCTGTCCTCCCACAACCCCTCTACGGGATTCAGTCCTCTAGGCCAGTGCTACTCAAAGTGGTGGTCCACGGACCGGTGCCAGTCCGTGAGCCATTGGCTGCCGGTCTGCACACAGACACATTAGGAAAAAAAATATGCCGGTCCCCCACATCAGATAGCTTGAGAAGCACTGCTCTAGGCTGGCATACCAGTCCAGGGACAAAGGGACAGTGAAATGAGCAATGGTCTCTAAATCCCTTTCCATCGGGTGTGCGGTGTGTCCTCTGTGGGGGAGCACGATGAAATGGAACAATAGCGCCCTCTGGTAAATACAGTCCTGCTTTCCCTTCCCGCCTTTCCTTTGTTCACTGCAGAAGCTCTCCAAGGAGGTTCAGGATGCTTTGGCGAAGGCCAACAACACAGCAGAAGAAACCATTTCGGCCATGAAGACTGTGCGCAGCTTTGCAAGTGAGGACATGGAAGCAAATGTCTATTGGGAAAAACTGCGGCAAGTGTACAAACTGAACAAAAAGGAAGCCCTGGCCTATACGTACTATGTGTGGTCCAGTGGGGTATGTGCCTTGTTTCTATTAGCCACCTGTTCTCACGGTGATGATTCTGGGGGCAGGGAGGGGTTATGTTCTGATACTGCTTATTCTCTGCTGTATGAACTTTGTAATATATTGTACATAAAAGTTTTGGGGTCAGGGGTGTTAACAAAAGACACAAACGTTAAGGTCTGCTCACAATCCCCTATTCTTTATGGCAGGTTTCAGAGTAACAGCCGTGTTAGTCTGTATTCACAAAAAGAAAAGGAGGACTTGTGGCACCTTAGAGACTAACCAATTTATTTGAGCATGAGCTTTCATGAGCTACAGCTCACTTCATCGGATGGATGATAACTATTCTTTATGTTTAACTCTCCAAACAAAGATACATTTCTGTTAAGGATTTTGAATAGTGTCATCCAACAAGCAGTTTCCTGCAGTAAGCAGCACTCTAATTAAGATCAGTCAAGGGCATTGGAAGCACTCTGTGCACACGTTACTGCATTACGTTCTTAGGCCAGCTAGTTTTTGGTATCCCAAACTATAAAACAATGTTTATGAGATTCAATCTGCTGCTCAGAAACTGACAAAATCGTTTTCAGTGTAGTTGCTTTTTTGAAAGGCACTTTGTTGCCAGTCAAGCCTAGATTTCAGGGCTTCTACTGGTAACCAAAGTAGTGCAAAATCTTCACACACAAATGATCTGGTTCCACTAAATTTCCTTTGTTGAAAGGTTTGTGAACCTGGTGAGCCAACTCTGGGGTGATTCATGGCATTCTACCAAAGTCCTGCAAGATTTGTGGTTTCTCATAGTTTGGATGCAAAACTAGACCATTTTGAATTTGAGTTTTTGGGATCGTCCAAAGCAAAGCTCCCAGCATGGACCTGTGGTGGCTCAGGAAATTGAGAAGACCTGTCCAAACTGAAACTAACAACCTCTTTCTCAGGGAAGTGCAGAGCCCTGAACTCCGATCTTGGCAGATGAATAAAGGAGGAATTTGTTTTCATTATGTTTGGCTTGTAGGATTTATTCGTGGCTTTGTAGTCGACCGCTTTCACTGGCTAACTCTTACCTCTTAGCCACTGGAAGAGTAGATGAGTCAGGTTTCCTGTGTTCCATATTCCACACTCTGCTACTAACTCATGTGACTTTGGGCAAATCATTGAGCCTTGCCCCCCTGAGAACCTGGACTGACGAGTGCTATATAAATGCAAAGCACTTCTATTTTTCAGTTCTCTTTCAAGGGTCTGATCCAACTCCCACTGAAGTCAGTGGAAAAACTCTTTTGACATCAAGTAAGAGTTGGATCAGGCTTTAAGGCAGCACTTCTTAGCAGATCGCAACATGCCTCAGGTGGCACATGACCAGGATTCATCACTGAAATACACTTAAGTAATTCCATTGTGATTTATAACTCAGTCTAGCATATTAGGCCCCAGGCCAGAGCTCCATGTACATTTCAGTGCCAATGTTTGCTCTGAACTTCAAATGTACTTTCTGGATTTCAGGGTTGACCTTAAGTACCCTTGAAACAAACAGCTGCAGGGTGGAACCAGGGGCACATGGGGTACTAGTGTGTTACTCGTTAATTTCCATATACTCCATCCTCTCATCTGTCCCCTTAATGTAAACTACTGCTGACCCTGCCTATGCTCCTAAGTGGTTTTTATGTATTTATTTATTCTTTAACCACATGCAGGCAGATTTCTGGTCGTAGGGCTTCCTCTGCTTGGATGCCAGTAATGTTAATAACAGCTTTGCCTACCAGGGGCATAGCGAAAATGGGCTTCTCCTGGCATCTTCAGTTTGAAGTGGAAAGCTAGCATTTTTGGCTAGGTGAAAACTCTGATAAAATGTTCCCTTTTAGTCCCAAATGGGACATTTAATCTGCTCAGGGAAACCCGTTCTAAGGCGAGTCATGTTTAGTTTAGTTCTTTGTTTTAATTGTTTCGGTCTTAAAAAGAAAAGGCGTACTAGTGGCACCTTAGAGACAAACCAATTTGTTTTGGTCTTGTTATTACATAGTCCTGCCTTGAGTGCAGGGGACTGGACTAGACTTCTTGAGGTCCCTTCTAGTCCTACACTTCTGTGATTTATACACTTCTGCACTAACTTGGGGACAGAGAGGTGCTGAACCACTGCAGCTCCCAGGGAGGTTAATGGGATCTGTAAACTGTTATTTCTTGTTGTTGAATTAGTATCCCAGCAGTGCCTAGAGTTCCCAGCTGGGATCAAGGTTGAATTGTAGTTGGCACTGGCCACTCACTCAGTGAGAGTTTGCAATCTCAATAGATAAGACAAAGGGTGGTATAAAGAGATAAGCAAAAGACTGGAGACTGAGTCACAGGGAGATTGAAGGGAGTTGCCCATGGTCACACAGGGAGTCTATGGCAGAGACAGGAACTGAACTTGGATCTCCTGAGTCCTCGGACAGTGTTTTCACTACAAGATCATGCTTCCTTCCATTGCTTGGGGCTTTTCAGAATCAGAGCTTTTAATTACAGCCCGTTGCTTGAGGAAACATGCTACTGAATTAAAGAAGAGTACCCCTTCAAATGCCCATGATCCTTGAGGAAGTTTGGACTGGGATCTGAAAGTTATGCTTCAGGCCTATCTCTTTAGCCCACGCTCTCTTGCATATATTCATCCCTAAACTCAGTTCATCCCGTTTTAATTTTCCATACAAATCAATTGTTTAGATGTTACATGTTTTTCGCAATATCTGACATAACACCACAGTCCTGCAGCATGGCTCGTCTCTCCTTGCCCCTTGCAGTACATTTCAGATCGAATTAGAGGCAGCCCAGAATCCCAAATCCCAAACCCTTCATGTTTCAAGAGATGAGCAGAGCATTTGGCTTTGAATTCCCAGATCTGAATCCCGCTTCTGGGTTGGATCCTATATCAGAAAGGCCCTGTTTTCTGCTTTGAATGCTGACAGTATCCATTATGGTATCTTGAGATTTTGGGGCTGTCCAGTCCAAACCCTGGCACTGATTCAACCCCCACCCTGAAGTCTAACATAATCCAAAGACAAACTGCATAAGAACATAAGAACAGCCATACTGGGTCAGACCAAAGGTCCATCTAGCCCCACATCCTCTCTTCCGACAGTGGCCAATTCCAGGTGCCCCAGAGGGAATGAACAGAACAGGTAATCGTCAAGTGATCCATCCCCTGTAGCCCATTCCCAGCTTCTGGCAAAACAAGGCTAAGGACACCATCCCTGTCCATCCTGGCTAATAGCCATTGATGGACCTATCCTCCATGAATTTATCTAGTTCTTTTTTGAACCTGTTTATAGTCTTGGCCTTCACAACATCCTCTGGCAAAGAGTTCCACAGACTGACTGTGCGTTGTGTGAATAAATACTTCCTTTTGTTTGTTTTAAACCTGCTACCTATTAATTTCATTTGGTGACCCCCTAGTTCTCAACCCTCCTCTAGTTCAGATCTCTTTTTAAATCGGACTTAATTTCCACTGCTCTGACCATCTCCTGAGCATCAGATGCTTTATGGTTGAGCCTTTCAGAGTAGCACAGGGGGATTAAACACATCTTCCATGAATCTTAATGAAAGAGATGAGTCAGAAATCCCATAGATCAACCTGGGCTTCTAAACTATTTTGTTCCTCCAACATCAGTGTCCTGCTTTGAGTTTACAATCTATTGCACAACCTCAAGCACCCCGTTGGGACACTCCAGTAATAAAGCTTACACTGGTGAATTCTGGATAGCTGTGTGAATGAATAAACATGAGCCCGAGAAACAACCAGCGTTGTCTGTTTATGTGTCTGTGCTTGATTTCAGCTGACTCTTCTTGTGGTGCAAGTCAGTATCCTTTACTATGGTGGCCATCTGGTGATCTCTGGGCAAATGACCAGCGGAAACCTGATATCTTTTATTATCTATGAATTTGTCTTGGGAGATTGCATGGAGGTGAGTGTGGGTTATCCATGCACCAGGTTTTTTTCACATCCCAGGCTAGATAGCTATGGGAGGGGAAGTAGAAGTGTTTTGTTTTTCTCTAGGTCACCATCGTCATAGTATTTTATCACCTCCCAGGTATTTAAAAATGGAAACAATGACAATCACTCTTTTTCTCCTCCCCCACTCCTGATAGGAGTAATAGCTGGTTCAGAGTATAGGGTTTTGCTGTGTGTGGAGGGGTGTTATAGGAAAGTTATGTAGGCTATGTCTACACTACAGTCGGGATCAATGCTCTGAGATCAATCCACCAGCGGTCGATTTAGCAGGTCTAGTGAAGACCCGCCAAATCGCCAGCAGATCGCTCTCCAGTCGACCCCTGTACTCTACCCCCGAGGAGAAGAGTAAGGTAAGCTGACGGGAGAGTTTCTTCCGTTGACCTCCTGTGGTGTAGACCCCATGGGAGCTCGACCTAAGATACGTCAACTCCAGCTACATTATTCACGTAGCTGGAGTTGCATAGCGTAAGTCGACTTACTGCAGTAGTGTAGACATAGCTGTAAATAGAAATTAGTTTCGCATTTAGTTCTGAGAGCGGGTAGGTTCATGGTCACTCTTGTCTCCTTAAAAAGCTCTTTCGATTCGGAAGGGCCAGATTTGGGTATGACTTGCGTCGAGTAATAACACAAGAGAATCAGGCCCTAGATGACGCTGAGTGCCGGGTCCTTAGCTGGTGTGAATCAGCTCCAAAGACTCCAATGAGGCTGTGCCATTTTACGCCAGCTGAGGATTTGCCTCTGGTTGCTTTTGTTATTCCTACGAGTTTCCTGGCCTCTTCTGCCACGAACCAGCTGGCAGTAGCTCCTGCAGGACGTCCTTCGGATTAGACCTGGGACTTTGCCTCCAGGTCCGATTGCCCCCGGTGTGACGATGAGCTGGGGAGGCAGCCTCGCTCAGCGAACAGCGCGGGGTGGGGAGAACCACATTGTTCTCTCAAAATAATAGAAGTCGCTCATCTGCTGATGAGACAGCCAGCTGCAGGAAGTGGAGCGGAAAGCTGTCCATTGCTTGAAGGACAGAGTCTTGGATGTCTTCCGGGCAAGCTTTCCTGCGGGAAGGATGAAAGGGTTTGGAGGCTGCTTGTTACATTTCAGGGCCCATTAAAAGCTTAGTGGGATTCTTTTATTTAATTGGTTATAAACGGCTAAATTGGCAGTGAGTTAGTGAGATGGGAGTCTGTCCGGGAGAGCCCTGGGATTGCCGAGCCTGCACAAGTCTGCTGTTGTCTCGTCTCATTAGCCCAGCTAATCCAGGCAGAAATGATCAGCTCCAAACTTCCTCCTAACCTGGTGCGATCACCTAGGTGCTCCAGCCTCCCCTGGAATGAAGAACAGCACATGTGGCAGTAGCCATCTGTTCATAGGACTGCAGGATCCAGTGCTGCTTCCAGCCTGCTTTCCTCTTTATGGGATGCCTGTTCCTTGCACTGTCTGTTCTGAAACTTTGGGCTTGGTGCTGGAGGCTGAAGAGTATCCGAGTTTCAAGGGATGTTTTACTCTAATCGGCCCCACCATCTGCTGCACAGTAGACCTGGGTTTGGGAGTGGGCTTTGGGTTCCCATTGGGGCGCTGATGAAATACATTTCAGAGGAGGGAGGGGTTGCCCCATATTCATAGGATTGCTGCAGAATCCGGGTGTTATGGGAACTGCTTGTCTTGGTTGCATGGAAAATGACAGGAGGGTTTCAATCCATGTTTGGGTGATTTGTTTTCAGGGAGACCCCTCCCTGCATTCCATTTTTCTTCCACTGTCACACGCACACCTTCTACAACCTCCATAACCATCATTCCACCATTGCACGCTTCTGTGTAATGAATGTTGGACCAAATCCTGAAATCGCAGGTGTATACAGTGTATCTTAGACCAGCAGTCAGTGCTGCTGCAAGCATCTGCCAGAGAGGGGTCACTCAAAAGCTACGTCAGGTATTGGTGGGAGGGGAGATAGACCCTTTCACACCCGACCCACCCTTTTGTGGCTCTGCATACGGTACTACGTTCGTGTCATTCCCTGGGAGTTTGGGCTTAGCTGCCGCCCTGTCATCTGGGAAGTTACTTTCTATTGCAATGTATGACCATGTAGTGCATGTTTATTTTGTTTACAAGAGAGTGATATATTTTAATGATCATTATTTCTCTCTCTACTAAGCTCTGACACATGGAGATGTATAACCTAGGCCTGTTTTGTGTTTCTATTTAGTCTGTTGGTTCCGTCTACAGCGGATTAATGCAGGGAGTAGGAGCTGCTGAGAAAGTGTTTGAGTTTATAGATCGCAAGCCGACGATGGTGAACGATGGAACCCTGGCACCAGACCATGTGGAGGGTAAAGTGGAGTTCAGAAATGTTACTTTTTCCTATGCTACCCGGTCTGCAACACAGGTCCTACAGGTGAGGGTCTTGGCACGTGTTCAGCATTCCCTTCCTGAATACACAGCACCATAGGAATAGGTTAAGTGCAATATTTCGCCAGCAGGTCAATTACTAACTAGTCGCAGACTGTGGCATAATCAATGAATCATAGAAATGGAGGACTGGAGGGGACCTCAAGGGGTCATCTAGTCCAGCTCCCCAAACTGAGGCCGTACCTACACCATCACTGACTAACTCATTTGTCTAACTCCTCCTTAAAAACCTCCAAGGGAAATGTTGGAAGCCCCATCCTTGGAGACCTTTCAAACGAGACTGGACAAAATACTGGGAAATAGATTGTGGGAAACCATTCCACATGGCGGTGTGGTGAAAAGAGGGCATTTAGGGCCTAACAAGGGATACTTATGTTAATAAAGCCCTTGTTCACTCTTACAACATTAAAGAGCTAATTGTGGTCCAGGGTCTTGAGTCACGTTATTGCTGGCAACTCCCATTGTAATGACCACCATTAAATTGTTGTTGTTCTTTTATTAAAGACACAGAAAAAGAAAGAAAACAAAACAGTTAAAGCCTTTGAAATACAAAGTGTTAAGTAAGGCTTTCGTTGTAGTAATTCCCCTTATTTCCTTTCCCTTACTTGCCCTGTATTAAGATTTTTGTATAGGAGAAGCCCCTGTTTGACAGAGGATATTGCCGATGTTATTACCTGTCCTTGATGGGGAAGAGAGACGAGGTTAGTTTTAGTGGCTTGGAGCTATTGCTGCTGTTATTGGAGTCCAGTCCTGTTTCTACGAAGACTAAATAAGACACCCACAGACAGACAAAGGGACAGAAAAGAACAGCAAAGACAGGAAATGCAGCTTCTGCCTCGGGTGCTGACTTTCACTGGCTGCTGGAGGGACACAGGCCCAGCACACCTGCTTCTCAGCCACTCACTATCTGGCAAACTTTTATCAGTATCAGGCTGTTTGAGGCATTGCTACTAGCTGCCTTTCTGGTCACAGGCTCGGTGCAAAAGGTGGAGTTGTTTTGGCCGGTTCAGCCAGACTCTGATTAGACAAAAGGCAAAGGAGAGGATAGGCAAGAGGAAAGATTACGTGGGAAGGGAGGAAGGACACATGAGGAGTGGGTAAGATCCGGAACCCATGTCTCCCGCCCCATGTATTGTTCAGCTGAAGCTGGTGGCAGTTACTGTGTCCTTGGTTCCCTCTCTGGCCTGACTTGAGGATCAGGACAGTGCAGGCCTGGTGATCACAGGGGCCCAGGAGACAGGTGGCAGCCATGACGATGAAACTCGCTCCTTCTAGCCCACCCTTTCCCCCGCTCCCATTGAGTGACCTCTAGATAAACAACGTCCAGTTGAAACACATTTTGGGGATTTCAACTGTCAACGTTCCCTCCCATTTCTAGACCCTTTCAGCTTGTTCTCATGCCAACCTGTGACTTTACCAGGAACTTTGACCCCCTTCTCCCAGTTCTCTGAACCTAAACCATCCAGTTTGTACCAGTCGCTGCATATTCAACTTTGGCTGACTTTCATAAACAATTTTATGTAACAGGCTGAGTTGGACTTTTGTTACTTCGCACATCTTAACATACAGACCTCTTTGTAACTGGCTGCCAGAGGACTTACTAGATGATTCCTCACTGTCGTCCCTCTTCTCTCCCCCTCTCCCCCCCCCCCCCGTTTTTTCATATCTTTCACGCCTATGATTTTGCATAGCTGGAAAAGTCCATTTGTGAGCTCACTTACTAGAAAGCCTTTTGTAGCTGTTTAACACTGAGACAGAAGGGTTGTTTCTAGGTAACTCTGGAGGCTTGGCAGACAGCGAACCAGGTACTGATCTCAGATGCGTGGGATATATGAGTAATGGTGTGGTCTCGGAGAATCAGCTAGATTCCAAGTGTTTATAGATATAACACTGGAGGGAAACTGAGAGCAGGCTATGTAGAGCTGCCCATTTGCAGTGGTGGTGTTTTGTGAAACTGCGGGCATGTTCTGTTTTGTGTCGTGCTAATGAAAGCTGTTGGCCTGTTCGACCTCCAGTAGGTGTAGGGAGGGCTCTGGAAAAAGATCCGCCCATTAAATCTAAAAGAGCAGGGGTGAGATCAGAGGATGGGTACCAGGACATTGCTGGACTGACAGCCTTTGAGACTGAGCCACAGAACAGGTATAGCACAGGGACAGCAGAGAAAGCGTCCCCGTGCTGCCTGGTGCCAGTGTGCCTCAATCCTGACCCTCCAGATCTAGCCCATTCAGCCCTTAGCTTCTCTGTTGAGATGACCAACAAAGTTGCCAGTTGTGGTTGTGCCTTTTATGATGTGGCCACCAAATCATTTTTGGGGACTGAAGGGGGGCCACTGACCATTCCCAAGTTAAATTGGGTCAGAGTAGCAGAGGAAAGAGGTGCAATCTGCAGTCTCTCTCCTGGTTTTTGGACCTGCCTGTTCTATGGACAGGTGAGTCTGAAGAAAAGATGTTGGGCCCATCTGCTTGTTGTGAGGGAGGGGAGGAGTGAGGCAGAAGATGATGATACAGCACTGGGAGGTTATCTAGTGGGAGCTCATACATGCTCATCTCCTGGCGTTGAAGCTGGAGGCAGCCAATCTAGCCGTGGTAGGACAGGAGCACTAAAGAAAACCCTGATCGCTGTTTTCACTCTGTTTCAGCTGCCTTTTCTAGTGTACTCTCTGCAGATCAGACACATGGATGCTTTAAAAAGCCGGGTACACAGGCTATCACTCACTCACCTCTTACGTTACAGAATGTGTCCTTCACCCTCTATCCTGGCAAAGTGACTGCGCTCGTGGGTCCTTCGGGCAGTGGGAAGAGCTCCTGCGTCAATATTCTGGAGAATTTCTACCCTCTACAAGATGGGCAGGTCCTGCTGGACGGGCAGCCTATTAACATGTATGATCACAAGTACCTGCACTCAGTGGTACGAGTTACTGATAAACCTACTAGCTCTACTCTGCCATGGATCAAAGGGTTTTAGATCATTCAGGGGATATTGTCTGGTCAAATTTGGGCCCAACATTTAATTTAGGTCTTTCTAAAATGTTTCCTCAATGCCTGAGACTAGAGCTAGTTAAAATTTTTTGATGGGGGCGTGCGGAGGAAGAAATGCACTTTTCCCCCCAAAAAAAATTTCACCAAAAAATTGTCCTTGTTTTGACTAGTTCTATCTAAGACCAGTAGAACCATGTCCATGATTGTTAGGGTGTTTTTAAAAATTCTAGTATAAACCAGGTTTTTTTTAATACTTCGCACTTCTACAGCACCTTCTATCCATGCACTTTACAAATATTAATTAGTTAAATCTTCCAACACCCTGTGACGTATACAATCCCCATCGGTGAAGCCAGGAGACAGAAAGGTTAAGTGACTTGCCTAAGATGATGCTGGAAGTCTACAGGCTTCCTTTCTTACACAAATAAACATTCTTCTGCAGTGGTTACAACCCAGAATATACAACATTAAGCTTCTGCATGAGAACCTGAAAACATAAGGGATTAGAAACTGACTCTAAACCAAAAATGAAATTGACTAGTGGCATAAATGGTGAAAAGTATATTAGTAAATTTTTTAAATCCTTTCCCTTTAAATAGCCTGATGTCGGGGTGTCAGTAACACAAATAAGGCTGTTATTTTTTTATTATATATGCTTTTAATATCTGCTGTTGCTCTACATGTTAATTTCTGGGAGAGAATTTGGAAAATTTGATTTTTAAAATGTAAGAGAGTTTACAAAAGGGGGTTACATTCTGCAGTTTGTAATGGTTGCTTTCAGGATGGGAAGGAAAAGGCATTGTTTAGGAAATCAAAAATGGCAGCTCTGTAACTTTCTAATTTGGGGATTGAAAAATCATGCAGAGCCAATACTGCTGTGTGGCTGAATGGTCTAATTCTCAGACGCCCCACCAGTGCACTGTGCTCTGTAGGCCTGGAGCACTTTATACTGACTTCATGCTTCTATTGACTTAAATGGTTTTGGACATGAGTTTATGTGTTGGTTGCTAGGCTGTTGCTGCAGCCAGCATTGATGGCGATCTCCATGCTGTGTTCAAGATGCCTAACTGTGGTGACTGGATAGATGAAGCAGGAGGTTCTCTCTAGTTTGACTGACACATGTTGCCAGCACTGGGTTTGGTTTTGTGTTACTGCCCGGTGGACTACAAGAAATGGCAGCCCTGAGCTTGCAGTGTTATAACCAAAACGCAACAATATCACTAGTGAAAGCTGCAGGGTTCTGTCCCATTGCTGCAATTCTTAATAGGGTAATACCCTGAGATAAACAGGCCAGATTCACTTTTGTTCTCCAAGAACTGTGCTTTCAAACAGAGCGGAAACCGGAAACCACAAAGCACTAGCAGGTGTTTTTACCCTTGGCTCCTATCATTCGTCAGTTTCGTTTCTTGGTTCAATATGAAGGTGGCGCATAATCACTTCCCCACACTTAAATACCAGGTGCATCTGGCAAAATGTGCTTCCAGTGCTGACTAATGCCCTGCAGCTTCCATGAGTCAGCTAAGAGCTACTTCTGAGGGCACAGCTGCATTGTTCACACGGGCAGCCTACAACAGAGTGTAATTAGTACCCTCGCTGAAATCCTCTCTGGTTTAGGCACTTTGGGTCTAGGTTTAACGATGGAACTCTGCCATCTACACTCTCAAACCAACTGGAACCAATTATTATAACCTACGAGAGGACTGTAGTCATTAAACGGTGACTGTTCTGTTTTGGTTCTGACTGCCTCTTCCCTTCCTTTCTGCAGATCTCTTTAGTGAGCCAAGAGCCAGTGCTGTTTGCTCGAGCTATTGCGGAAAATATTTCATACGGTTTAACTTCAGTCTCGTTCGAGTCTGTAGTCCAAGCTGCTCAGAAGGCCAATGCCCATGCGTTTATCACAGAGTTGCAAGATGGCTACAAGACAGGTAGTACGGACCATTTCGTTTTCTCCAGTTGCAGCAGAAGCATGACACTTAAATATCCAAAACAGTTCTTGGAGATTGGTGGTAAAATACAGAGCCTCTCCTCTCAAATTAAGGGATTAAATTCAGCCCATGTTAGCAGTGACCAAAACTCACTGGCAATTGATGGCTGTTGGCCAAGATGGCCTCTGGCTACCAGATATTGGGACTGGCGACAGGATGGATGACTCAATAATTGCCCTGTTCTGTTCATTCCCACTGAAGCATCTGGCAACACCCACTGTTGGTAGGCTATGAGCTAGGTGGACCATTGGTCTGACCCAGTGTGGCCATTCTTATGTTCCATGGCTTACTGTGTGTGAACTTAGTTTGGTCTCAGGCCCAGTTTCCTATTGGGTAAGTGTCCACATCACAGAAACCCTCACCAGAGTTAGCACTAATTGCCCACTCCCCCCACGCCCCCACTTATTGACAGGCTCCTCAGAGAGGACAAGGACTGAATGAGCTACGGAGACTGAACTATCTTCTCCCCACAGAGGTGGTCTCTCCAAGTCAGGCCTGTGGCACCTGATTGGGCTTTACGTGGAACTCCGTGCTATTGTTGCCCCTGGTATATCTGTTATGTGGCTACGGGGGGCTTTAAGTCAGTTTTCCGCAGGAACAGGATTGGGCTCTGGATCCCTAACTCGTAGTTCATCCAGTGCCAGGTCCTGGATGGAACACACCCTCTATCTTGTTTAGTTTTTCAGTGGGCTTATTCTCTTAACAACCCAATAGCAATAAAACTAAGCAGTGAGGCATAAACCAACCTGCTCCTACTTACCAAGAAAATAAAATGACAATAAATCTGCAGGAACAAGAGCTGACGTGTTGGTGACAGAAGCACTTTGCATTGGGACCAATGAGAGTAATGGCTTATACAATGCAACCGAAATGTTTCAGTTTCCCCTCCCTTCTCTCTTCACTGGAAGATCTGCAGAATGGGTCTCCAGGGAGAGAGTGCACGTAACTGACAGTATATGTAAATGTGCAGAAGTAGCAATAACTGGCACTATCTTTCAGTGCTGAGGTTTCCTTTGAAAAACTGGTCAATGAAGGTTTTGGATAGTTGATCGTCCAGGCTCGTGTAGCATTTCTCATCCTAAGAACAAGTGGTTTGAGCACTGGCCTGCTAAACCCAGAGTTGTAAGCTCAATCCTTGAGGGGGCCATTTAGGGATCTGGGGCAAAAATTGGGGATTAGTCCTGCTTTGAGCAGGGGGTTGGACTTGATGACCTCCTGAGGTCCCTTCCAACCCTGATATTCTATGATAATTCTAACAAGGACTCTTGGAATCACTGTAGCATTTGTCAATCCCCTAAAATGCCAGGTTGACAGTGGTGATCCACTGCTGCAGAGAGAGGCTATAGCATTCCTTTAAGGGTATGACTACTGTAGGGGAACAGGGTTATTTTGGTAACTTAGGGCCTGAAAGACTCCCACTGAACTCAGTGGGATCAGGTCCTTATTGAGGAGTATTGACCTTAAAAACCCAGACCAGCATTTCAGAGGAGGGCACAGTTAGAATGGCTGCTGGGAGACGAGAACACTCCTCTCTTCTTGTACCAAAATATTTTTGGTTCCTGTTTTCAGAGTAGGAGAAAGACAAAATATTGAACAAGGAAAGTTGATCTGTATCCAAAGCATTTTAATATATATTCTGGAAGTGAGGGAGGGAAAACAGCCAAAGAACCTTGGGCCCTTCATTCTCCATCTGTCAGTTTGGTGGTTTACGTGAGTGGTGGGTCTCAGTTCAGTTTCCAGGGCTCTAGTGTCTATTTAACCCCCTTCCCCCCATAAGGGTACCGCTACACAGTCCATGGTAGTGAGCCTCCAAGCCAGGGCCGACAGACTGGAGCTCACGGGACTTGTGCTACTGCACCAAAAATAGCTGCAACATGGTTGCACCTCAGGCTGGAGCCTGGGCTCTGAAGCTGAGGGAGAGGGATGCGTTTCAGAGCCTGAGCTCCAGCTGGAGCTGCAATATCAACACAATTATTTTTAGTATGGTAGCACAAGCGCTGTGAGTCTGAGTCTGTCATCCTGGGCTTGGAGGACTCACTGCCACTCACCATGTAGACATATCCTTAGTGTCCCTGTTTGTGGTCTGGGAAGAGGCCCCAAGGACTGAACAGGATCAGGCCATAGAGATTGAATGAGCTCCCCCCCCCCCCCCCCGTTCCCTTAATGCAGTCCTTTCAGCTTAGAGATGAGGTGCATTAGGGCACTAGCCTAGCACTTGAGAGACTGCAGTTCAATTCCCTGCTCTGCCACCAACTTCCTATGTCACCTTGGGCAAGTCACTTAACCTTAGAGTATCCTAGAATCATAGAATATCAGGGTTAGAAGGGACCTCAGGAGATCATCTAGTCCAACTCCCTACTTAAAGCAGGACAAATCCCCAATTTTTGCACCAGATCCCTAAATGGCCCCCTCAAGGATTGAACTCACAACCCTGGCTTTAGCAGCCAATGCTCAAACCACTGAGCTGTCCCTCCCCCCATAGGAACAGTTTTTCAAGGGTCATGGTGGATTCTGTTTCAATGATGATTTTTAAGCAAGATTGGATGGTTTTACTAAAAGATCTGCTCTAGGAGTTACTTTGGGAAAGTTCTCTGAACTGGGTTATACAGGAGTTTAGACTAGATGATCACAGTAGTTCCTTCTGGTCTTGGAATCTATGAATCTCTCTGCAGCTTAGTTCCCCATAGGGAAAATCGCACTGCCTTACCTCACGGGGGTGTACTGAAAGAAATCTGAATCCAGTGATACATCTTGATTTTTGTCTCACTTCCCCCCCCCCCCCTTTCATCAAACAGAAGCTGGTGAAAAAGGAGCCCAGCTGTCTGGTGGCCAGAAGCAGAGAGTGGCTATTGCAAGGGCTTTGATCCGAGCCCCCCCAATCCTAATCCTAGATGAAGCCACAAGTGCCCTGGATGCAGAGAGTGAACACACGGTTAGTAGGGCTAATTCAGTTTATTCCAGGAAATAAATAGGAGTAAAGTCTGGACTTGGGGTACAGATGGGCAGAGACCTGAGCTGAAATTTCTAGATGGTGGGCCTGCATAGTCTGGACATACTGTGTTGCCTTCTTAACATCTGGCAATTGTTGTATGAGCAGGTGAGAATTAGAAACTAATTTCCGCTTTATCTTCTTTCAAACATAACATTGTAACCATTACAGAGGGAATGATCCGGCATCTGTAACATACCAAGGCTAATTCAGGTTAGATACAAATCGCTTTGCCCAGGGAAAAAGTTAAACAATGCACAGAAAGGTTACACAACAGCTTAGGACAGGGAGTGGAGAAAACTGTATCCTGGTGAAATTGCAGTAAGACAGAATGTAATTGCCTGAGCTGGAATGTAGCCAGGACACCAGAATGAGCTTCTCCGCTCTTGCCAAAAGTATCCAGGGAGCCTTCAGGGATAGTGAGCAGTCAAAGCCTTTGTCTAGTCTCTTATGACACCTTCGTACCACAGCGCCCCCTAACACCGTGTTGGGATATGGCTTTGGCGTCATCTTGAAGGAAAATTGGTGAATTGCCAGCACCACTTTCTGCAGCAGCTACATTCTCCATAGAGATCTCCCATCTGAGTACAGTAATGCCTCGCTTAACGCTGTAGTTCTGTTCCTGAAAAATGCGACTTTAAGCAAAACGATGTTAAGCAAATCCAATTTCCCTATAATAATTAATGTAAATAGGGGGGGCTAGGTTCCAGGGAAATTTTTTTCACCAGACAAAAGACTATATATATATATATATATATATATATATATACACACAGAGTATAAGTTTTAAACAAACAATTTAATACTATACACAGCAATGAGGATTGGGAAGCTTGGTTGAGGTGGTGGAGTTAGAGGGTGGGATATTTCCCAGGGAATGCCGTGCTGCTAAATGATTAACTAGCACTTGGCTGAGCCCCCAAGGGTTAACACATTGTTGTTAATGTAGCCTCACACTCTACAAGACCACACAAATGGAGGGAGGAGACACAATAGATGCATGGCAGTGGCTGCAAACATTTCCTGCGGAAACTGAACATGATGATGAACCCATGCTATCCCACTGGAGCCCACCACTCCCTCCACTTTCCAAAGTGCCGGGGGGTGCATGTGTGTTTGTATGAGAGATGCATACCGTGTGTGTGTGTGAGAGAGAGAGAGAGACACACACACACACACCATGTGTATCAGAGACACACACCGTGTGTGTGTGCGTGCATGTGAGAGAGAGGTGCATTGCCCCTTTAAGTATGCTACCCCCAATGTAAGTACACTGCCTTTTTAAGTAGATCAGCAAGTTGAGACAGCAACTGCTGCCAGCAAGCTCCCTCCATCCTGAGTCCTGTGTGTGTCCCCCTGCTCTGTGGAGATGGGGTGCAGGAGTGGGGACAACCTGACATCAGCACCCCTCTTCCCTCCCTTCCCCCGCACAGCAAGCAGGAGGCTCCCGGGAGCAGCCCCAAGGCAGAGGGCGGGAGAAGCACATGGCAATGCGGGGAGGGACACCTGAACTGCCTGGCAATTGATAGCCTGCTGGGGGGGCAGCCGCACAGGGAACTTGGGGGGGCTGCCGGCCCACCCTAGTTCCAAGCTCCCACCAGCTCGCTCCAACGGGCTGCTTCTCCTGCAAGCAGTGGACAAAGCAGGTGGCTGCCAAACAACGTTATAAGGGAGCATTGCGCAACTTTAAACGAGCATGTTCTCTACTAGATCAGCGACGAAACAACGTTAACTGGGACGACGTTACTGTAGTGATTTTCCCCCAGACTTGCTTTGCTTTCAGGGATCTGATGACATCACAGCTTGAGGAGGTAATATGACTGCAGATCTACTGAACAATTCAAAGCAAAAACGTGGGGACTTGAGATCCATGGTTGACTGCAGCTGGTTTGAATACCTCATGTTGGAGTGACTCAGTCGGTAGCAGTCATCTGAGTCAGACTGTGGAGCTGAAGTCTCACAGCAGGACCTAAGGGCATATCTCATGATGATGCTACTGTGCAGTACACGGAGCCTGGGACATTGTTAGGAACAGTCAGACACATTGTATTTTGAACTTGTACACTATCATCTCAGTACACGATGTAACTTAATATGAGGCACTATAGCAAGATGTGTAGTCTACAGTGCCGGTCCCAAAACAGCATGATCCCTACGGTTAAGAGAAACTGACTCATAAATGTTGAAGCTGGCAGTGGAAGGGTGTTTAATATAATATACTTTACATTTATCCCGTGGAATTATACAAACTTCTGACCATTGAAATGCCGCCTCCTCTAGGACGGAGTGCAGCACCTGCTACACTCCACAGCTGCGGGATGGAGGGGAAGTTTTGAGTCCGGTTACTGAGGAAAAATTTAATTCTTAAAAAATGTGTATGAGTTCATTAATGTCCACACACAAACAGATGGGACTTGGGCGTTTGGAAGGGCCTGCCTGAAAGTCCCACTGAAATATACAAAAGGCCGACGCTGGCTCTAGTCAAACTGAAATACAGGTTTGTATTTGTGTAACATGAATGCATTTCAGGATTAGTACTGCTGACAGCCAGATGCTTTATTAATGATGACAGCTGTGGGACTACAGCCATCTTTGTTTCCGAGCAGGTAGAAGGTGTGTCCATTTGACACATACCTAGTCACCAACTGCCTCACTATGTTAAGACAAATGTCTTGTTTTTTGTGATGCTGCCTTTATTGTTGCTCAGCCGGCCAATATCCCCTTTTTTCCAAACCAGTGCATTCACGAGGTGCAAGCTTCTTTCAGCCCCTGCCACTATAGAGCGGCTTCTAAATTCAGGGCCCAATCCTAATGAGAGTTCACCTTGCAGGATCAGGGCTGTAATCTCTAGACCCACCAGACCAGTTAGTGGCTGCAGCAGGAGCTGCTGCATTGCACGGATGGAATTTGTGAGTTGAATTTTGAGCGGTTTGAGGGAGTGCTTAGGGATAAGTAGTCCAGTGATATTCATGCTTATTTCCCATTAATACTAATGGGATATCCTGTTCATAGATCCATGTGTATCCCGAGGAGAATAAACCTGTTATTGCAGATTTCTTAGTAAGGAGTCATAAAAGACACACCTCCCCGCCCCCATGGATAACAATGACGTTTGTATGTTAATCTCTTCCCTTCCCCACCCCCTCCCCCCAAACAGATTCAGCAAGCAATTTATGGTGACTTGCAGAACCACACTGTGCTTGTCATAGCCCACAGGCTGAGCACTGTCGAGAAGGCACACAACATCATTGTTTTAGACAAAGGCCGAGTAGTGCAGCAAGGAACGCACAAGGAGCTCATGGAAGAAGGCGGCCTTTATTCTAAGCTGGTGCAGAGACAGATCCTCGGGCTCGAAACTGGCACAGGGGACGGCTGTCATCTGGAGACTAGCTTAGCTGCTGCCAGTGGAGATTCGATGAAGCCGCCGGGAGGATTGGATGAAGAGTTCAGGGTGTGACATGCTCTCTCTGGATTGAGACAGGATGGTTACAATCCTGTAGCTCACAAGTGAGAGAGCACCAAGGATTCCTTGAAAGATCCTTGTTGGGATGCTGAAACAGGAGTCCACCGTAGTCCAGACTTGGACACATTACTGTAGAACAAGGCCTGTTTACTAGTCACGCACACTAAGCTTCCAGTAGGCAGACTAGTAAAACAGGGAAGCAATGGGCCCAGTTTATTAAGGGGAGTTGGATCTTTAGCAGTTCCCAGTATTTCTACTGGGTTTCTTTTCTTAGAGTCAGCAATTCCCAAGGCAGTTGATGGGGTCTGTTCTCCCACTGATATGTCTGTTTAACTGCTGTTAATTGTAATGGGTGTTATACACATGCATGGAGGGGAAGAATGAAACCCCTTAAGGAACTTCAGGAGGTGGTTTTGTGAATTGGTAGGAAGACATTGAACATAAAGTAAGATCTTGATCCTGCAGTCACTCTGTGGTGCCAATCCCATACTCAGTGAAGTCAATGGAAAGACTCCCATTGGCTTCAATGGAAGCTGGATCAGCCCCAAAGTGCAAAACTCTTATTCAAATCTATGAGAATTCTGCACAGAGTGTCTGCAGGTTCATGCTCCTGTCTAAAACATTACCATGCAGAGCTTTTATTAGCTTCATTGCAGTGAGCCAGGGGCCCACCGGCAGATCCTGCCTTCTGAATCGCTGATGGAGTCTGGTGATTTTTTTGTTTTTAAAGGATGTAAAGTTTTACCATAGCTTGGTTAATTTTTTTAAATGGCTCTATTTCTATGGGCACCAGCCAGGTTTCTGTCTGGCTCCATCGTCCATTGAAAGCCAGTCAGTCTTATTTCAAAATGTGCTTGTTTTTAAATTCACAATTTCAGTGCCCAGGTTGAGAAATATTACCTAAAACCAGGCGTAAAATATAAATAATGGCACTTTATAAACCCTACCCAGGCCCCATTCAGCTGTGGGCTATGCTAGCAATGTCAGTGCATGAGAAATCCATACAGCCGCATTCCTTGAAATCTAACTCCGACTGCCTGAATTCCACATTTAGTTCTTTGATGTTTTTTTAAATTATTTATTTATTAGTAGGAGGGCAGAAAGAAAAATACCATTTCTAACTGCATACAACACTGGTGGAGCTGGCCCAATCTTACTACCACTCCATAAAGACTGGCAGGAACATTTATGCAGCCCGCAAGGTGCGATTTTAAAAATAGCATTAATTGTATCTCATACAGGGAAGATTGATTCAGGTTGCGCAGTTGTTTAATAACCTCAAGCACTTTAGCTCTCGAGTTAATTACTTTCCAGGGTTTGGCTGCTGCTCTGTAATACTTTGCGGCAGCTTTCTTGTTTGCAATGTTGTTGTTTTTTATTTTTAAAGTGACGTTTTACAAACTGTTTAGTGTCCTCAAAGGGGATACTTTAAAAATAAAGTACTACCTCTGCCATTCAACTTTATACCCAATGTCTCAAGGCTTGATTAATTCACAGATAAGTTGCAGGTTTTTTTTAACAAGCCAACTTGTGAATACAACCACATACCTTTCTAGTCCTGTCACTGGGAATGAGGCAATACCTACAAGGATCAAGTTAGGCTGAACGTCAGCTAGTCGTACTGAAGCTCTAACAGTAGGTGTAACCAGCTTCACGATTTGTTTTTGTTCTGTGTCTCATTTGGTTAGTATGTCTGCCCTTCTGTGTGATATTATCTCATCATTTCACAACGCAATGTGCCCCATGACCAGCTCGATCTTTAGTATCCAGCCTTTGTAATGTGATAAAAGTCTGGGCCCTGGAATTCAAAGGTAACCCAAGGGTGATGCCATTCCTAGTACAATCTTTTGTTTTATCTTCCTGTGCTTGTGAAATTCTGCCTCATTCTAGAGAGTCATCTGTACTGTTCTACAGACATTTCCATAGTTAAAGGTAAATAGCTAGGCACATACCTGATTGCAGAAGATTATTGTATAGGTGTGACAGTGTATGGACCCCATGTAGAAGCTGAAAGGGGTAAGAGTTAACCCTGCATTTACATCAATGTAACTAGGACCAAAATGTGGCCAATAATCCTTAAAAGTGGAGTAAATTTCTACTCCTTTGCGAAGTCTGAGAAATGTGGTTAATGGACCTAGAGAACACTGCCTTTGCCTATGCAGTGCTAGTTATAACAATCCTAGGTAAAGAAAATAAAGTGCCAGCTACAAATGGGATGCTGGAAACCAGAGCTAGAGGTACATGGGTGAGCTGGAGAGTCCTATAAAAATTAAATGGGGTATGTAAACGGTCATACGTTTCATTGCAATGCCAGCACTCTCAAAGACTGTACTGAACCTGAGCCTGCATAGTGCTTTGTTAAAATGCACTCAGATAGGATTCTTGGTTCCCAGGCTTATTATAATAATCTAATTTTTATTAATACTCCAGATGCTTAGATCCTAAGAATGCATTGGAAACTGAAAACTGGGCATCTCAATGGCAACAGTCTGACCTAATATCAGATTTTGACTTTTCTAGGTGTTCATTGCCACAGATGCTGAATTCCCTCCTATACAGTAGAAAAACTCAAAGCAAATTTTCTGGATAGGGTTAAATGTTAGGGTTTGTGAATATCCTTAGTTATCTTGTCAAACCACAAGTAGGGCTGGATCTTTCTTTATGCTAAGATCCCTAAGATTTCCTTGTAGCTTTGGTGCTTTGGAGTGAGCCCAGACTAAAAGTCAGGATATTAATTGCAGCTCTATGACTGACTTTGTTTTTTTGACTTGGGCAAGTACTTAAATAATGAATATTTACAGCTCACTGCAAGTGTATAATACATTCTGCCTTCCACGAACATATGAACTCACAACTTCCAGTGTTTCCCCATCTATAAAATGGGGTACTACTGCCTCCCAGGGATGTTTGTATCAGTTAACATTTCAAAACACTTTGAAGATGTCTGCAAAGTATTTTTTTCTTATTGTGCCTCTACTATTGCTCTAGTGAGGTTTGAAATAGCTGTTCTATTCTAAACCCCTTCATTCATTCCTCACTCTGTCTGTTCAGACCGGGTTGAGTTATGTGATCCTGGAGAAAAAGTTTTTTCCTTTTAAGATAAAGGGTATTTATTTTCCACACACATAACTCAGCTGACTTTGTTTTAAAACTTACCCTGTTGACCTTGATACTGAAGGCACATGCTGGAGAGCTAGAAGAAATTAGGTTTGGAAAGAAGTTCAGAATGATTGCAATTGCTATGCTGAGCATGTGTAGCACTTTCCTTCCTATGGCTACTTCATGTCATTCCAAGAGCCGTGGTCATACTGGCATAAACACAACTGTGTTTGGTGTAAATGCTGAAGGACCCCTCCAGAAATCTAGTCAAGGTGAGATACTGTGGTCTTAGCCACGTATCAGTGACACATGGTTACATCTGTACCTTCACGCTGACAATGAATGCGGATGTCCTGTTAACATCACCATGGAAACATAGTGTGGTGAATCAACCCAGCTGTGTTTACTTCAGTATGTGTATATTCTAATACATCTGACTATGCCGAAATAAGAACATGTATTTATTTCAGTGGTTAGGCATTGGAGTGTTTGGTTACACAGGTATGGGAAGACATTGCAGATCCACAAAGCACCTCTATTTCAATATTTGAGTTGCTAGAGATCTTTGTTTTTCAGAGCTGAGCGCCTTAGCTTCTAAGTTTTGTGCACTGACTTCATTGGGAATTTATGATGACCAGGGTGTCCAGGACTAGGCTCTTACTGTATTGCCTCGGTAGCATACCCTGCCCTTTCTAGTCTGAGAAGCAAGGTACTGACGACAATCAGCTCTTGCTCTCTTAACTAGCATTGGGACCACTGTCTCTACCCCAGTGTGCTGGATGGTCACATCATTTTGATATATGAGAGAATCAGCCTTTGACTAAAATGGAGTGTCTAAAGAGAAGCTCCAGGGGGCTCCTCTTCCTAAATATACAAAAGGAAATTAACAAGCCACAGGGTAGCTTGAATGATGTACCTTTGTTTAAAAAAAAAAAAAAAAAGAGTACTTGTGGCACCTCAGAGACTAACACATTTATTTAGGCATAAGCTTTCATGGGCTAAAACCCACTTCATCAGAGCAGGGGTTAATAGGCTCCAAAGATTAGATTTGCAAATTCAGTTTCTACTAACTAACCAGTTTTTCCAGACAAAACAAGCTGTCAAAAAGGTGACTTGCAAAACATGGATACACCTAATAAATATGCACCGGTACCAGAAATAACCTTGAAATGATACAAGGGGAGAAAGGGAGATCCAGGATCATGTTTAAAAATACATCAATATAAATATTAATAAAATAGGTTGGATGCTGATTCTTTTTAATACTAATGTTGGATTCTTTATTAAATGCTATGCAATATGATTTTCATTTTGAGCCTGAGCCTTTTCATTCCTTTCTACTGAAAAGAAATTCCTCTTGCCAGAAGAAAGCACTTTGATAGATATACAGGCCATTTTTTCAAGGGCTATGGGAGAAATTCACTTCACTACACCTGTGGGTTTTGGTTGTATAACTGAGTGCTGTAAGGAAAGGAGCCTGTCTTCCATAACTTGCATGTTGACAAATGTAATGTTCATAAAATGCTGTCAGCATAAAAGTAATGCCAGTAAAGATAAACAGGAACCACTCCTAAGTGTCTGATGGCATGACATGCACCGTTCGTGATAAGTGTGGCGTACCTCCCAGTGTCCCAACAGAGGCCAGATTCTGGAGTTCTTGACACCCAGCCCTCTGCTCAGTCCAAGAGACCATTCTGCCTCAATATCTCTCATTAATGTGACTGAATGGAATTGCACATAACTGTCAAGATTAGAATACATGTTTATAGAAAAAGCAGCTGAACTCTGATGTCTCATTTCACCTCTCTTTTAACCTCAGTTGCCTCTCCCAGCTGGCTAGGAAGCTAAATTACACACAAACTGTGTCCAAGAAGGTAGGTCTGTAGGTGACACAAATGCCACCCAGCAAGCTACAATAAGCAGAAACTCCACCCCAAGAGCTATAGCTCTTAAACAAATCTGACGAAGAAGGTAGAAAGGTTATTGGCAAAAGGGGTTGTACTCAGGGGTTGAAAGTAAGCTGGTACGGCATACCGGTAAAAAGTACTCAGGCCTGTACTCAGCTGACATTAAAGTGCTGCCGGTAGGGACCCATCAGAGCCACTGATGGGGGGCACAAAAGGGGCAGTGATGTTAAAGTGCTGCCATGGCAATGCTTTAACATTGTTGCCTCTTTTGCACCCCCCGGGGTTGCCGAGGGGGGGGGGGGCAGGAGGGCCAAAAGGAGCAGCTGCCCCGGTGTTGTGATTTAAAAGGGCTGGGGGCTCCAGCCAGAGCCCCAGGCCTTTTAAATCACCGCCGGAGCCCCAGGCAGCATGGGACAGGCAGCGTGGATGAGCTGGCTGGGGGATGCTGACCCCCCCAGCCCTGCCCCTTACGGAGCCAGCCCCCGTACTGGTAAGTATTGAATGTTACTTTCACCCCTGGTTGTACTTAAGCACTAATGAGTGCGTTCAAGTCCCTCTGTAAATTTTGCCATGACTTCACTATTATGTATCAGCAGGTTATAAACTTTAATTTAATAAAAGCTACTAATGTGAAGTGTGACTAATTAGAAGAACTGATTTACTGATGGCTGGATTACCAGACTCACAGCTACCCCCATTTTCACATAGCTCCCACTTGGTGTAGCAGTCTGGGGGAGGGGAAGTGGGCTGATCCTGACTGGGGCCTTGCTATGCCACTGTAAACCAAATAATTAAACTAGTGAGTCTTCCTAAACAGGTAGTTGTAATGTGAATAATAAATGATTGATAGTGCTTCACCCAATTAATTCAAAGTATTTTACAAGTATTTGTTATTCCTTACAATCCCCCTATGAAGTAGGAAGAAATTCCCAATTTTATAAATGAGGAAATAGGCAAAGGCTGAGAAACTTCCTGAAGATCATACAATGAGTCAGTGGCAAAATTGGGTTTACACATCAGAGTTCCACGCTCTTAAACCACACCATTGCCCAATACTGCTTATAAAGTGACCCTGATAAAGTTATACCCACTTTATACCTTTATAAAGGAGGGTCTCTTTTAAGCCCTCATCTATTTAATTTCTCCTCAAATGTCTTTTAAAAAACGTTATTTTTCCCATGATGATGGGTGTGTGTGTGAATGTTATGTGATATTGTGTTGTCATAGCAACTATCTGCTAGTTTTGAATAACAAGGTCGTACTGCAACAGCTCATGTCAGTCACCTGTAAACACACAGGTGAAAATTGCTCATGAGTAACATTTATTTACCCTTTTTGTAGCATCCCCCACTGTTGAGGATATACACACAACAGAGATATTCTTCAAAAAGCACAACATACATGTTGTATGCTGGTTTCAGAGTAGCAGCCGTGTTAGTCTGTATTCACAAAAAGAAA